ATCCGGAACATAGAGTAGAAGACCCGTCGGGTAAACGGGTCGAATCCGGGTCAATATGGTATGCGGGGTTCGGTTCCAAAATAATGAATTTCGACCCGGACCCGACCCGTTGACAGGCCTATTGTGAGGTAAAGTACGTGCGGCATTGGAAAAAAAGCGTCCTTTTATCTTGGCATGATTTCAAAAAGCTTAAAACTCTCCTACTGTTTCTACAAATTTCACTTAGTAGCCCTCCAATTCTAAGGATTACACTGACGTCCCTACTTTAAGTTTATGGTTACAAAATCAACCCTTGTCAAGATAAATGACTTAAATTATTAAAAGAAAATTCTGACAATAAACATTATTCTGAAGTTATCCTTAGAGTTATTACAAAAAATTATGCCAAAAATATTTTACTCAAAAATGGAATAAACAAAGTAGAAAAGTCAAGAATAAATAAGCCTCATAAATTTGGTTGTAATGGCCAATATTACCGTTTATAGTGCAACTTTTTTGTGGACGAGCAGAGGATAAAAAGTCTGCATCAACTTACAATAATGAGCAACCCATTCAGTCTATTTTGCGTATATAAATTACCATTATTTCAGCAAATGTTCAACAAAAACATTGCAAAACAATTCAATCAAACAATGTGACTTTTCCACAACACTTTTCCATCATATTAACGGACTTACAGTTTGATTTATTATCTAAATTCAGTTTACCAATTTCACTATTGGTTTGAAAACATGCTTAAAAAATAACTGCAACAAATTTTAAGCATAAAACTCTATATTTAACCACACTTGCACAATGGTCAAACTTATATAAACTAGAATACATACAAATTCTAAGTACATAGTGTTAGAAATTTCCAAAGTTTATAAAGGATCTGTGGACGGATCCTTGTTGATCCCTCTATGGATCCATAATCCTGCCACGAATTCAATTGTAATTGAACTGGATTCGTGGACCGGATTCTGTTAAGAGAGTTGTGAAATTCCATCTAGTTGGATCTATGGGCGGATCCTTAGTAATGGTCAATTTTTCTATTTTGACACCTTTTCATATTTTGGCGATTTATACCCCTCCAAATGGTGTCTAAAACTTGTGTAAAACTTCCGACCACTTGTGTTAGTAAAATCAAGGAATAGACATCAAATCTTTGGACAACAGTTACAACTCTTAGGGGGCGCTTGGTTCAAGCTTAGGAATTGGAATTGTAATTGGAATCATACAAAAAAACTTAGTATGGGTTTTGGACAAAGGTATGATTACAAATGGGGGTGCTTGGTAAATATTGGTAAGGAATGGGTATCAAATTTAATAATCAATTTTTTACCTTTAATTTCTTTTTTCTTTTCATATCTTTCTTCTTCCTCGTTCAAATGCTTATCCCACATACTCATCCACCATATATATATTCATATATAAATATTAATTATCTGTTTAAAATATATTTATAAATATAAATATAAATATATTTATATAAATAAATAAATAAATTTATTTATATAAATTTATAAATATATTTATTTCAATTTTGTTTTATAATATGTATAGTAATATATATTAATATGTATATTTCAATTATGTATATAATATATCTAAATTATAGTAATATTAATATGTATATTTCAATTATGTATATTAGATATATTATATCAATTGAAATAAATATATATATTTATATAAATATATAAATATATATTTCAATTTTTTTATAATATTTATATTTATATATATTTATATATGTATATTAAATATATATTAATATACATATTATAAAATAAAATTGAAATAAAGAATATTATATATATAAATAAATAAATATTAATATATAGAAACAGAGACAGTATATATTTAAAAAAAATCCCAAAAATAATTTTTTTTTTTAAGATTTGGGAATCAAATGTGGGATTCATCAAAACCCTCCAATCTACTTGGGTATTGAGAGTGGCTGATTTTTCATGAATCATTCCAAGATTTCAAAACCTATACCCATTAGCCAAGCAACAATTTTGGGGTTCATTCCAATTCTTGATTCCTATACCCTCCAACCAAGCACCCCCTTAGTTTATAACAATCTCATCTATATAAGAACAAGTAAGAGGATGGTTTGCTGCAGAAAATTACTTTCCTACTTACTTGAATCCTTTGTAAAATACACCATTGTTCAAGTAGGTTTGTCTTACTTTATACAAGAGTTGAAAGATAAGCAAACTTCAAATTAACCTAAAGGATATTTGTCCAATTTCTATTGCACACAATACTGCACAAATAAAGGCCAAAGGAAAGTGATTTTGAATCATGATTTGAACCCATTTTTTGTATCTTATACTTTGCAATATTTAGCCATTTCTTTTGTAATATCCTCAACAATTTGTAGGCTTAAATTTGTTCTTTTGCAATCGCTGGTACATTAAAAGAATTAGCATCCAACATTATCAAGTTAGAAAGGTTTGATGGCAGGAACTTTATGAGATGGCAAAAATGTATTCTTTTCCTCCTTACTGCTCTTCAAGTAGTTTATATTTTGACCGCTCCAAAACCCTTGATTGTCAATCCTGATGAAGCTCTTGAGAACATGCACAAACGCCAAAAATGGTAGAATGATAATGAGACTTGCCACGGTCATATTCTCAACACATGATTTGTTCAATGTCTACCATTCAATTCCAACTATCATGGAACATTGGGATCAATTGGAATCCAAATATATGCAAGAAGATGCAACAAATAAGAAGTTTCTTATCTCCTCTTTTAATAGTTATAAAATGGTAGATAATAGGTCTATTACGGAGCAATTTGCTGAGATTAAACGGCTTCTTAATCACTTTACACAACACAAATTGCACATGAATGAAGCCGTTATTATATGTTCTATAATAAATAAGTTACGACCATATTGGAAAGATTTCAAAAGAGACCTCAAACATAGAAAGGAGGATATCTCTCTTGAGACCCTTGCTAAGTCTCTTCGAGTAGAGGAGGAAATTCAACCCAAGAAAATAAGAATACACAATTCCTTGAAGAGAACCAAAGTGCATATGATAGAAGAGGAACAAACAAGCAAGTCCCAAGGAAGTAGGAGAGGCCAACAATGCAAGAATTAGTCCAACAACAAGAAAAGGAAGAAAGGCAAGTGCTTCTACTACAAAAGGAAAGGACACTACAAGTCCAAGTGCAAGATTCTTAAGAGTAAAAAGGAGAAGCAAGACTCTTGCAACAATGTAAACAAAAATCTGGTCGTTACGATTTCTGAAATCAATATGATTGAAAATGATTTTGCTTGGTGGATTAATTTCAGTGCTACATATCACATTTGCAACAATAAAGAGGTTTTCATGATCGTGAAACTGATGGATGAAGACATCGTGGTTTATATGGAAAATTCTATTACCATTTCTGTTCAAGGGGTTAGTGAAATAGAATTAAAGTTCACTTCTAAAAATGTAGTAACTTTGACTAATGTACTCTATGTGCTGGAAGTTAGAAGAACTTAGTGTCGGGTAGTTTGTTTAACACGTTTGGTTTTAAATTTGTTTTTGAGGCTAAGAAGTTCATCTTATCCAAGTTTGGTATATATGTAGGTAAGGGTTATCTTTGCAATAGGATGTTTAAATTAAATGTACTTGCAACTGGTAATAGTAAGAATAATATTGTTTCTGCATATTTGGTTAAGTTTTCTTCTAGTTTAGAGTATAATAGACTTGGTTATGTTAATTATAAAAGAATGCATGAAATTATAAAACTTGATCTATTGCCATATTGTGACAAAAATGAAGAAAAATGCAACAAAAGCATGCTAACAAAAAAATCACAAGAATTCCACTTCTTGAAGTTGAAAGAAGTATCAAAGTTTTGGACTTGATTCATAGTGAAGCATGTGACTTACATGGCACACCTACTTTAGGAGGAAATAAATATTTTGTCACTGATTATAAATGATTTCTCTAGATATTGTCATGTTTATTTGCTGCATTTAAAAGGTAAAGTCATGCATAAATTTAAAATATATAAGAGTGAAGTTGAATTTTATCATGAAACATCTGTGAAATGCTCAAGTCTGATAGAGGTGGAGAATATAATGATATTAACTATTTAGTCTGCTAGGATAAAACATAAAATTACTATTCCTTATGCACCATAACAAAATGGTGTAGTTGAAAGGAAAAATCACGAGTTAAGTCAAATCGTTGATGCACATTTGTCAAATTTTAGCCCAAGCCAAGAATTTTGGGGTGAACCTTTATTAACATTTTTTGAATCCCAGAACCTCAATTGTGATTGGTGGTTTTCAGTTGGAAGATTTACTCCTACAATTTGATCTAGCAACTTCAAGGTTGGGCTTCACCTTTACGCTTTTGGGATCTCAAGCCACATGCGCCAAACTTTAACTTCACATCCACCGCCTAAACTATTTCAAAAGAGTCATTTGATTTCTCTAGATGCCTTTTCAGACGTTTTACTGTATTTATTTTAGATATGTACTTTTTGGGTGTATCGATGATTATTTGCACAAGAATATAATTGGCAGAACATTTACGTTTACGTGATTTGCTGAATTTAGCAGTGTATTTTTGTTTGGATTATGGCCTTATGGTCAGTGCCTTTGGATCGACCACTATTAGTTGCAACATTTTCTACTAATAGATCTTTCACAGAGATGTCAGCTTAGAATATAGAACGTTAATCTTCTTTTGATTCTTAATGATAATTGTATACAACCATGCGTGCTGATAAATCTTGTAGTAGTTTTCTTGCAAAGACTTTAATAGTTTGATATGAATTACAAAAGCCCTGCAATTATGTTATCAGAGAAAAGAGTACGTGTTTCACCTATAAAGGTATAATATGAGTCATGGCAAATTGTAAAATTGGTTGTAACTGTTTCTCAGTAAATGTATCATAATAAACAAATTCCTTTTGGTTTATATAGACTAAAGTCAACTCTACATCTTGCAAAAATATGCTTATACAATCATATAATTGAATGAATATTATTCCCCTTAAATGATGTCGACAATATAATAACTATTAGAGTTGGGCAAATGGTCAAGAACGACTTTACTGTCACGTTTTGGGGTTCTAATATTGGACCTAACAGTTGGGACTGAAAAGGATGTGAAAAGAAAAAAATAAATAAAATTACAAAATATCCACAACATATTTCAATAATTTTAGACAAGGGGTCCATATATATACAACTACAATAAATCACGAAGTACAACGAAGAAAGAAAAGAGCACACTTTAACACAGCTTGATACACATTTTTATTCAGCAATCTGCTTGGACTGATTAAACTGAGTTGTTTCTCACACACGATTCATAAATCCATGAGGTACCTAGAAAGGGTTTCACTGTGCATGCCTTCTCACTGCAAGTAGGCTAGTTGGACTCAAACTTTGGGCAGTATATAATATTGAGATGCTCAATATGCTGATAAGATTGATGGCAGATTCTAAGCAATTGAGGCAGATAACGAAGTTCCAACTTCTTCAGTTTTGGAATTTCAGCAGAACAAACCTCGGTCTGCATCTCACATAGTATGATTTCTATCATAGATGCACAATCTTCTACCGTAAGGTCTTCAAGGCTAGGAAAATATTGTACCATAGAGCATGAAAGAACAAATCCCAACCTCGGACATGTGTGAACCGACAAAACTTTTAAAGCCTTGAAACTTTCAGCAGTTATCTCACCTTTCCAGATTTTGTTCAAGTTCCACAAGTAATGAAGACTTAGGTGAGATAGATTTGGTAATGCAATTTCATCAATGATACTGCCACCATCTACAATGGACTCCATGTCAGAACATTCGCTTACAGTACAGACCTTCAGTTGTCTGATAATTTGAATGCCAAACTCTGTTAAGCTTCTGATCCTAGATTGGTGATCAAGATAGAAGGCTGTGGCCCGCTTGAGGACTTCCTTAACTTCATTAGGTATGTGATCACTATCAGTACTGACATATCTCAAGCACTTGCGTTGCTGATCATAATCCTGCTCTGCATGTCTTGGGACACGAGATGCCGACCTTTTGATGTCATGGCCAATGACAAATTTGAACTTCCTCAAATTATCAGCTTTCCAAGCAGGACTGGATCCAAGGAAAGTCCGTAGAAACTTTATTTCGGGGAAACAGATACCAAGAGTATCCAATTTGTTCAGATTGCTCAATTCCTTTGCTACAAATTCTGCATCTGTATTCCACTGAGTATCCCCGGATTGCACTTCAATGCTCAATTCTTCCAGTGACTGAAGCTCAGAAATTATACCACAAGGAACCAAATTTTTGTGCTTATTATGAAACTTCTTGTCATCCACGTATGCATAAAAAGATACATGAAAATGCTTGAGAGATGATAACTGGCCAATGCTATGAGGTAGGCTATAAATCTCAGTACCTGTCAGATCAAGAATCTCTATGGACTTTACTTCCCCAATTCTGGGAGAAATTTCAGATAAGCATGGGCAATGGCGAAGAATCAGAGCTTGGAGCCCACTTAAACTGTAAAGTGATGCTGGTAAGGATCTTATATTTGTCTTGGATAGATTCACAACTTGTAGACGAGGCATGCTGTTGAAAAATGATGCAGGTATAGTTGTAAGACGTCTGTTTCTTTGAAGGAACAACATCTTTAACTTGCGGCAATTTAGCTCCTCGGGTAGCTTTGAAATGTCATTATCCATGAGAAATATCATCTCGGCTTCTTCCCATTCACTTTCTTTTGGTGGCAATAGTAAACCTGCCCCAGCTCTTGACAGGAGGCAATTTTCTACCCTGGGCAACTTTTGGGGGCTCTTTGCTATTGATATTGTCCTTGGTTCCAACATCAGCTCTTGGTTCCCAACTTTGTTAAATTTCCTTCCCACCAAGAAATCCAAGGATCCTTCTTCCGATAAGATGATCCATGATGCCAAATCCCTTATCAAGTCATGCATTTTAATTGAAACACCATCAACAGGTTCCACTAGAGAGGCTTCAGTAAGATGCCGAACAATTCTGAACCCTTTCCTTGATGCATCTGCTGAATTGCCCGTGACAAGGCCCTCCTGGATCCAATAATTGATAAGCTCAATTATTTGAATGTTATGATCCTCTGGAAACAAGACACAGTATAGGAAGCAGCATTTCAAATCATCGTCATGCAATTTGTCGTAACCAACTTTTAGCTTCTGGAGTAGAGCTTCATCACAATTTTCAATGTCACCAGATTCTAATCCAGTAACTGATAAAAGATTACTCAGCACAATCCTCCAGCCCGAGACATCAATTTCCTTAGCCAACGCTCTTCCAATAACAATGATCATCAATGGCAAACCACCACATTCTGAAACTATTGCTTCTGCATGAGGCCTTATACTGGGGGAGTTAATGACACCTCCTACCTGTTCCTGGAATAGATTCCAAGCTTCTTTCCAAGAAAGGGCACCGACTTCTATCTGTCGATCTGAGGCCACTTTTTTGCAAATCTGAACTGATCTTGTTGCCACCACTAATCTAGAATGGCTCTCCAAATTAATACCTAGTGCCGCCAAATTAATACTGTCCCATACGTCATCAAGTAGCAGCAAATATTTCCTGCTTTGTAGTGCATGAAATAACTTGCTTGCAAGTTCATCTGCTGATTGAATGCCTTCCATGCTGAGCTCTATCTGCCTTGCAATCTCAAGCTGAATCTTTTTCCTGCTCCAATATCTTGAGACGGTCACCTGAATAAGAAAATCAAATTTATCTTTAATTTCAGGAGCGGATAACAAAGCCTTAAGTACGGTTGTCTTGCCAATTCCACCATTTCCGTAGATGCCAATTCTTCTGTATTTATCATCTTTCATGCATTCAATTATCTTCTGTACCATGCAGCTAATTCTCGGTTCTTCATCACCCTGAGTCAATCTTATATCATCTTTTCTTGATGAATCCACTTTTGGAGCTCCCAGAACAGTTACACTTCTTGAAGAAGACTTGGCAAACAGACGTCTTTTCAGATTCATAAGTGGTTTAGTCTTCATTGGATTAACTCTTTTATTTCCAGACTTGGAGGACATACTTTGATATTCGTGAATTATTCCTTCAGGATCGGAAATAGAACTTTCTGGTCCAGGGATGGATCTCCCAATTCTAAAATCCCCCATTTCACCTGTTGGTGAAATCTCTTCTATCTCTGAAATCCTGGCTACCTCAACAACCGTTTTGTTTGGAGTCATTCCTGCTCCAACATCCAGAGCTAGTTTTTCCTTGGCCTCTTGTTTCACTGGGATTTTGCCTTCAGGTCCAGAGTATCCATGTTGCTTTTCTTGTGTTTCTGAATCCTTTATTTCATTTGTATTTAACATCTCTTTTACCTCTGCAAAAGTAATTTCACCTTTTTCTGCAAGATTGGATTGAGTCTCTACCCTTTCAAGAGATACGGTATCTCGCCTTGTCTCATATTCATTCAACTCCGGGTGTGCCATGCTGGATAATGGTGACAGCAGCTTTGATGAGACTGATTTTTCCAACCTTAATCCTTCAGGACCTAAACTTTCAGGAATTTCTCCACCTCTTTGATCAAAAGCTGATAGTGACATCCCTTCATCCAGCAATGAGATTTTGTTTTCGGCTTTTACATGCCCATTTTCCATTCTACAAGTTTCTGCAGGTTCAGAAACAGCAGCTAATGGTGGAGAAATCATCTCTTTATCTTTATTCTGCTCCATTCTGTTTCCCAAAATTGGTTTTTTGCCCGCTGGGGATGATTCCCCTGCAGCAGCATTAAGTTGAACGGCTGTTCTTTGAAAGTTGTGTGTTTTACCCACTTCCACTTCCGCTGTACGATATTTATCGCCCCCAACCTTTGAATATTCCTGTATTCCCTTGGATCTTCCAATCATTGCATCATCCACTGTGTCATTTTTATTTGGTGATTTGTCCAAATATTCAGATATCTCGTTCATCACAGCATCCAGGCGGGACCGGATAGTAGAAATTTCGGAATCATGTGCCTTAGATTTCAGCAAATCACACACCTCATATTTGATCTCTTCCACCTTCTTCAGCCATGTATGGCACTCTCTTGTGGGAATCTTTCCCTTTTTGAGCTCTCGCACTAAATTCTTGATGATGGCGTCTCTCTTATCAAATAAGGAATCAGACTTTAACTTGAGCTCCTGTAAATTACTTTTGGGGGGATTGTCTCTTGCATGGAACCAAAATTTCATCTTCATGATTTCCCTTTCACCTGTGACACGAGTATAAGCACTAAATAATTGAAAATCTTGAAAGGTGGAGACTGGTTTAGAACAATTCCAAAGTTATTATTTCAAATCGAACAACTTCTCAACTTCACAAAATTGACGAGTCTTTGGTTTAAACAGAGAACTGGGTCAGTCCGGGTCATCTGTCTCTCCCTTCTAATTTGCAGGGAGGTGAGCATTTGTCCGAAAATCAGATTTTGTGTACAAAACACAAAACTGAAAGATGATTATGTGCAATCCTTTTTTTTTTCTTTATAGGCCTTTGCTTCATAATTAATTACGAAATGACACTAACATTTTTTTCTCATTTATAAAAATGACCACCCAGGATATCTGATGATGTAGAATTATGGAATTATTATCTCAAAAGCAGAAGAACCTGATGAGGAATGTCAGAGATGCGGTGTTCTGTGGTTATTGCTTATTCTTCATAAAACTCAATTGACAAAGTCATTATGGCATGTTGGATTGTGCGGTTAGTTTGGAAAATATTTCCTGAAAATGAGAAAAATAATCGACCCTTCCAAGGAAAAGCAGTGCACTAATTTAATTGGAGCATTTAGGGGTGTGCATTCGGTGCAAATTCGGTAATTCGGTGCACTGAATTCGGTGAATTCGGTTATTCTACCTGTAAAAATTTCAACCGTTTTCAATTCCGAATTGGGCATAACCGAATTCATTCCGCAACCGATTTCAAATTCGAAAACGGTAATGAATTCGGTTAAACCGAATTCATCTATGATTTATAAATTATTACTGATTTGATCCCTAAATTTATTCATAATTGAACACATTACTTATGTTCTAATCATTTTGTGGTTTAATTGGCATTTATTTGATCACTTATACCTAGAATCCTTAGTCTATGATTTAAGAAACACATAAAAAGTGATTAATTTAAACTAGAATAAACCTTAGACTATACAATGATTGGTGATAATTTATGAATTTATAATTTACAATGATTAATTATAAGCAATATTAGTTAGTAGTTACAATGAATTTATAATTTACACTGATTAATAATAAGTAATATTAGTTACAAACTTACAAATTACAATGATTAGTGATAAGTTATATTAGTTACAAACTTATAATTTATTTCAAATCAAAATAAAAACTTATTTACTTACACATGTTATTGTGAAAGTCAATACACTAATACATTGATTTGCAATTCACATACATTCACTTACAGTCTTACACTGCTTAGTTGTCTTGTCTATACTTAAAGCCTTAAGATTAGTAAATAGATAATATGAATTTTAACTTATTTGATAACTTATGCCTAAAATCATTAGTCTATGATTTAAGGAACACATAAAAAGTGATTAATTTAAACTAGAATAAACCTTAGACTGTACAATGATTAGTGATAATTTATGAATTTATAATTTACAATGATTAATAATAAGTAATATTAGTTACAAACTTACAAATTACAATGAGTAGTGATAAGTTATATTACTTACAAACTTATAATTTATTTCAAATCAAAATAAAACTTATTTACTTACATATATTATTGTGAAAGTCAATACACTAGTACATTGATTTGCAATTCATATGCATTCACTTACACTGCTAACTACTTAGTTGTCTTATCTATACTTAAAGTCTTAAGAATTAAGATTAGTGAATAGATAATATGAATTTTTATGTTAAATATGTAGAGTACACTAATACTTGCAAGTTAGAGATTACGCATTCAAATATTCAATAATTCAAACATGAATGATGTATCAAATTACCAATATCTAAATTTAATTACTAATTATGTTTATTGTTTAATATTTAGTATTATACATATATGTGTTAATTATTATCTAATTCTAGTCATGTTACTCATGTATAAAATAATAAGTATTATAGTTATCTTATATTGTTATGTATTACTATATATTGGTATTATTATAGTCATATAACAATTAACAAATACTAAAATAATATATTGTACATTATTATATATTATTATTATTATAAGTACATGATATGATGATAAATTGATAATACCATATACTAATTATTATTAATAGCATTTACCTATATAATATAATAAAGTATTAGTAGTATATACTAATACTAAATAGCATTTATCTATATATTATATAATTTTATATACCAATTTGGTAATTCGAATGCGGTAATGCGGTACCCGATTTCAATTACCGAATTTGAATGCGAAATCGGTTATTACCTAATTCATAATCTCATTACCTATTTCATACCATATTAGAATTCGGTGAATTTGGTACGTACCGAATTTGTACCAAATTACCAAATACCCGATTTCAAATTACCGAATTGAATTTGAAACCGGTTATGAATTCGGTAAGAACCGAATTTGCTCACCCCTAGGAGCATTTGTTAAAGAAGGCAGGTTAATAATGACTGCAACTAGCTAAGGTGAAGGAATTATGGTTTTAGGCAACAAGAGGCAGAATAGAAGAGGAAATGATTGGACTTATTTTGCGTTTTCTAAATTTGCTTATTTTTTAGGATGTTCTACAAGATGGCTGCCCAATTATAGCTTTGTGCATATATATATATATATATATCATATTATAAAGACTAGTTTAAAATACTGTTGGCGGAGCCAGAACCTTCAGACATGGATCAGACTTATATGTGTACAAAATTGTCAATTTACTAGTGTAAAATTATGGTTTACAAATTTTATTTTTTTTGACGCCATGATTTCTAATTGCAACTCAAAGTAAAAGGCTTTTAATTAAATTTCTATTTTTTTCCACTTAATTAGTTTAACAAAAATGGGTTTCTTTGGTTTAACGATCACTTGGAGAAAAAAAAAAGTTTTGAATTATACTATAGCTCAGTTTGAGAAGTGATGTATATGAGATGCAAATATGATTGAAAAATTAAAAAAAAATAGTTAAAAACAAAAAAGCCCCTTACGGTATACCTAAAACACAGAAAAGTCTCTCGTGATTTCAAAAACATACAAAACGACACCTCATGTTTTGAATTAAATTGTAAACTAACAGAATTCGTTAAACTTAACGGAAAACTTAACAGAATTCGGTAAACTTAATGGTAAATTTAACGGAATTCGTTAAACTTAACAGCCAAGACCGTCATTTTCGTTAAGTTTAACGAATTCTGTTAATTTACAATTTAGTTCAAAACATGAGGTGTCGTTTTGTATGTTTTGAAACTATGGGGGCTTTTATATATATTAGGTATACCACAGGGGTTTTTTTGTTTTTAACCCAAAAAAAAAATGAAAGGAAAACATGTTTATAATGCAACATTTTTTTTTTAAATACATTGGCTATCCAAACATTGCCTACACTGTAAACTTAAGTGTCTGAAACATAAGAAGTAAGCTATATATTCTATACATTAATGTACCTACAATCCTAAGGCAAAAAAGTATGTCTTCACCATTCCATAGTAATAAACTTTGAAAGACAATCACATTTTTTTGGTGTAAATTGAAAGTATGCAAATGACACTGTCAATTGTATCTAAATCTTGATTTTATATATTCATGAAGAGGACTTTTAAAAGTACACAATTATATTAGTTTATACTTAACTAAATAATAATAAAAAAAGTCAATATGTAATGCGCAAGCATTTAGTAACTAGTTGAATCTTACAAACCAATTAACTAATTAGCAAGGTCAAAAATATTGCAAAGGGAGGCAGCTGAATTTTGGGAGGAATATTTTTGCAAAAATATTGGAAAAATCTTGGGGGGAGGGGGGGCAAAATAAAGGCTTTCAAAAATTTCTAGGTGCTAAAGGAATATGTCGAAAAGAACTGCCATGTCAAAATGTATATCTAAAGGAGAAAAACAATAATTACTGAAGTGACGGTTCAATTCTCAACCATCATTTCTGTTAGGAATTTGGCTTAAATTCTTTTAGGTAGATTTCTTATTTGGTATGGGAAGTAACTAATTTCCTGATTGGATTTAGTTACTTGAAGTAGTAGTCAAGTAAAACCCTATTTAGCAGGAATTAGATGCTATTTCCTACTCTATATGAGTTTAGGAAATAATATTGGTTTCCAATTGTTATTTGATTTTTTTTGGCAGTAATGTTCCCTATAAATAGGTGGGTTGGCATACTACACAAGGGACACACAAGACACACACAAGGAGACACAAGCGGCATCATATAGCTTTATACATGGGGTGTGAGAGAGGGTTCTTGGGAGATGAGAGATGGTATACAAGGGTCGGGTTTGGATTCAAGTTGTATCCTTGTATAGGGTTTTCTTCTCATAATAAAGAACAGGTTTCTTTCTGTGGATGTAAGCTCAATGGTGGAGCCGAACCACGTTAAATATTGTGTGTCGTCTATCTTTTATGCTTGTGGCTTGTTTCTCATTAAATTGTTATGCACTTGATATCTCAATAGTTGTTTGTTCCGCGTTTGGATCCTAACAAGTGATATCAGAGCTTGGTTGCGAGACTGGCCTGCTCAAGGTTCGTAGTTGGATCCTAATTAACTATTGAGATCAAGTGGATTAGTAGTTGTTACTAATTGAACAATTTGATGGGTGGTATCCATGTTTCAATGACTTGTTGAAAAGCATTGATGGTGAAGGATGAAAAGTCGAAAAGTATGGAGATGTTTGACGGTGAATCTAGGCAGGTGATTCAAAGGTCAAGGAAAAGGTGGAGTCCAATGTTGATTTTGGACGTGAATCGGTGGAGACTTTCTCACACCTCCAACGATTGATACTTCATCCCGATGGATTTTAGATCTCAGTTATGTTCTTTGGGTGGTGTGACAGGTGTCCCAAAAAAACAAAGAAATCTAATTTTCATGCGCCAGAAGACTCTGACAGTTACGAGTTTTTTTGTTTTAGGTGGAGTCTTGGAAACCACACGTGGTGAGACAGTCCTGAGGATGGGAAGAAGTATGGTGATTTTATCACTTGGTTACCTCAATGGTTAGGGTTAGAGCTCACAAAAGGGGATTCCGGATTGCAAGTGGTGGTGAGAAGAAATCCTGCAAAGGGAGATGGTGAATTGAGGCACCTTCTCATGAGTCAACTGGAGTTTGAACTCGAGGTAACTACATATGTTCATTTATCGATTGAATCAATTTGGTGTCAGGATTGTATTGATTCAGATGTGTAGTTTGGTACCATATTATTTGGTAGTTGAAGGCAAATGGTTGCTAAAAGAAATTTTCGTCAAGGTGGAGATTTGTTAGGAAATTGGCTTAAATTCTTTTGGGTAGATTTCTTATTTGGTGTGGGAAGTAACTAGTTTCCTAATTGGATTTAGTTACTTGAAGTAGTAGTCAAGTAAAACCCTATTTAGCAGGAATTAGATGCTATTTCCTACTCTATATGAGTTTAGGAAATAATATTGGTTTCCAATTGTTATTTGATTTTTTTTTTTGCAGTAATGTTCCCTATAAATAGGTGGGTTAGCATACTACACAAGGGACACACAAGACACACACAAGAAGACACAAGGGGCATCATGTAGCCTTATACATGAGGTGTGAGAGAGGGTTGTTGGGAGATGAGAAATGGTATACAAGGGTCGGGTTTGGATTCAAGTTGTATCCTTGTATAGGGTTTTCTTCTCATAATAAAGAACAGGTTTCTCTCCGTGGATGTAGGCTCAATGGTGGAGCCGAACCACGTTAAATATTGTGTGTCGTCTATCTTTTATGCTTGTGGCTTGTATCTCATTAAATTGTTATGCACTTTATATCTCAATAGTTGTTTGTTCCGCGCCTGGATCTTAACAATTTCTGAGATAAAAAAGGTTGCAAAAAATGAGCAATGAAAATTTAGTAAAGGGTTGGTTCATTTCTTTATAGTCATTTCCAAGATTAAGATAATTTCAAAGCAAACTAAACTATAAACTTAAAAACGTACTTTTCATTTGTCTAAACTAAGAAAATTAACAAAAGGAAGGATATACATCAAACAAAACATAAACTTTTTGTCAATATAATAACATGCATTTTGGTAGACCAAAAGATTAAGAGTGAAAGTATAATTTGCTGGATATGCCAAGTTAGCTTATCGAAATAGTCATATAGACATAATATACCAAATTAACACACAAATATGTGTAAGAGCAAGAAATAAAAAACTACAATATTTTGCAAAACCGAATCCAAAGTGTGTACTTGGATCGATAAAGGAAATATTGTGAAGCTGTGCCTATTTCATACCCGCTTCATGTTGCTAAGCTAATGCATGCTTAAGAAAGCAATGATTTGGTATGTAAATTACCGATTATGCACACCGTAAGTAAATGTCAGTCTTTTGAGTTCTCAAGAATCTTAACCTTTTACAAAGTAAATAGAAAGACAGAGAACCAGTGAGCAGGAGGTTGAGAGCAAAATGTGGCTTCTCTTTTAATGTTTCACTGTAAATCAAACAATTCAAAGTCACAGAAAAAAGGAAAGGGAGAGTTCAGAGCTCTTTGAATGGTTTAAGCTAAACATATGACATATATTTACGTACCCACAGCCAAGTCTGTTCATATCAGTTATCACTTGAGGTCCATTACTATTGGTTCCTATTCTTTGAGGTCGTGCATGCTTTGAGGTCCTTACTATTGACTCCTCTTTATTGGGGGTAATGCAATCCGTTTGAGGTCCCTTACTATTGATCCTCTTTGTCATTGTTCTTTTTAGACTTCATTGTTCTCTTTACCATAAGAAGTCTATCAGTTACTAGAGTAACTTTACCCCCACGTTCATGTTACCTTGAGCATGTGTTTGGACGTGGTATTTTCAAGAGTCAAAGACTCTTTAGGAAAAGACACCTAGCTTCTACTATGAGGTAGTATTCTTGGTCACCTCAAGTTTTAGGTTTTTTTTTTTTTTTTCTTTTAGGACTTTAACCTCTTCCTCTTTGGAAGGTAGGAAGCCAGGACTTTTAGTTAGGAGGAGGACTTGTTGGTGTAGAAAACTGTAAGTTAGTGTAATCTTAGAATCATGAATTTTTTTTTCTTGACACCATGATGCTAATTGCAATTCAAAGTAAAAAGCTTTTAATAAAATTTCTTGGCACTAAATTATTTTAACAAAACAGGAGGTCCATTTGGATTCTCCATTTGGATTCATGATAATTTGCAAAATTTTTCAAATAATATTGTAGTATAGATTGGGATGTGCTGTATTTTAAATGACAAGGTGATTGAAAAAAATAAAAAAAAATGATTGGGAAACATATTTATGATGCTACAAAAAAAAAATTTGTTTTGGAATACATTGGCTATCCAAAGAAAGCCACAATAAATTTAAGTGTATATAACATTATAAGAAAGCTATATATTCTATACATTAATGTACTTATAATTCTGATAGAAAAGGGTAAAATTTAAATAGAAGTATGCAAATAGCATCATTAATTGGATCTATATCTTGATTTTAAATATTTACAAAGAGAACTTTTAAAAGTATACAATCTTTTTGGCATAAATTTTACATTTAAAAGATCATATGTATGCAGAACCAAGTACGTAAATATGAAATTTGACAAAGCAAAAATGAATTGCAATGAAAAAATTAATTGAAAGGTGTAGAATTTAACTTAAAAGAAATTTTTTTGGCATCACAGATTAATTTTTAAAATGTCAATATGAAATGCTAGAGTAATTAATAAGAAGTTAAAATTTTTTAAAATCAATTAACTAAATGGCAAGGTAAAAATATATTATAGAGAGAGGCAACAAAATTTTGCCAAAATCTTTGTGTTTGGGGGTTTGGGGTGCGCAAAATAGAGGCTTTCAATGAAAATCTTCAGTACTTTCTAAGGGCTAAGCAACTGCCCAGTAGCCCGCCGATCTAATAACTGTTCCAATTTTCCACGAACCCCTTGTCTAAGGTCCACCTTTTATTTTTGGATCACAAACACCAAAGTTTTGCACACTTCAATCCAAAACTTATGTTAAAACCTCAAACAATACTATTATCTTTGGTGATAGATTAATATGTAAGATTAATTTTTTCAGTGATGGAGTTAGGATTTTTAGTGAGGGAAATGAATTTATATGTGAAGAAAAACTATCAGTTTACTGGTGCAATTTGAAAGTCATGGTTTTTTTTTTCAGCATGATATCTAATTGCACCTCAAAGTAAAAAAGCTTCTAAATAAATTTCTATTTTCTGTTACTAGATTATTTTAACAAAACAATGGGTCCATTTGGATTGAAGATCATTTGGAAAAAATTTTTGAATAACTTTATACCATAGTTGGGATGTAACGTATGTAAGATGAAAAAAGTGATTGTAAAAGTAAAAAAGATTAGATCCGATATTTTTTTAGGAATACGATTTTGGACCACGGCACTGCACTTATCTGTCAACAAAACTGTAGCAATTCCTTGAATCATTACTTGTTAGAAACTATCTCCATGAGGAATTCTGCATAAGTTGGCATGTTAGCAATGGCCTCACCAAAAGGGATGTTCACTTACAATTTTTTTAACATCTCCAAAAAATTTTTGATATCTCCTAACACGTCTTCTTCTTCAAACACTAAGAAAATGGGATTGGTAGCACATATGGTCGGACTTCAGATAATTCAATCGAGATATGTTCTTCAATAACCTCCTTGCATGAACTTTGGACCTTGTTCTCAGATTCTTCACCTTTTTTCCTAACAACTTGCTCATCTTGCTTATTTAGCTTCTCTTTGGATTTCTGAATGGGATCCTCCAATACCTTACCTGAACGAAGTGTTACCGCCATGCTTGCCTCCTTTGAACTTTCGTTGCTCCTTTTCATTCAACACCTTAACTAATTGACCCATTTGCCTCTCAAGATTTTGATTTGAGACTTGTTGAGATTGCGCTATTTGATCCATCTTTTGTATATATTAAAGCATCATATCCTCAGCACTTGACTTTTTCTCATGAACAAGTGAAGGTAGATACTAAGCTCTTAGCTACTGATTTTGGAAACCAGGTGGTCCATAGGCGTGGCCCCTTGCTCCTTCCATGAAAATTAGAATGATTTCTCCATTCAAGGTTGCAAGTGTTAGTAAAAGGGCATTTCTTTGCTGTTGCAATTTTTGACCACCATAAGCACTAGTAAAGTCCACATGTTCAACCAAGGTAGGAGGCTTTTGGGTGTAACTTTTAGTAGTTGTATGCCTGTATATATGATAATAAGAACAAGATTCCTGAGGTTTAGTGCCATGAGTTAACATTAACTGTATCTGCTGCACTTGGTGACTTAATTCAGCAACCTACGAACCCAAATCCTTTGGCAATTCCACTTCATAGGCACCTATTCTCTTACCTCAAATCGCCTTTTGTTGAGAGTTACTATAACGCAACTCGTACAAACTTACTAACTCTTCTGGCATCTTGTCCCCAATATATCCTCTAACTGAGATATCTGCCATGTTCTGAGCCGTCAGACTCAACCCATCATAGCAAAGTTGCACTTGCAGAGCTAAAGAGTATTGATGAAGAGGACATTGGGTGAGTAGCAGCTTATAATGTTCCCAATCTTCATGAATTGACTCCCCTTTATTCCTCAAATCTATAGTCTTATACGATGAGTAATATTTAGTCATGAAGATATTATACATGTCTTCCCAATTTCTTAAGATCCCTATGGTAAGTTGAGAAGTCAAGACTTTGTACGATCCTTAAGATAATAGGGAAAACATCTCATCCATAGGTCATCCTTTGTCACCCCATTTAATGAAAAAGTCCGAACCACTACATAAAATTCCCGGATAAAAGACAACTGATCTTCATTGGCTAGACCATGGAATGAGGGTAACATGTTAAAATGCCCCATTTTCAACTCATAATTTCTTGCCCTTTCACTTAGTTGAATACAATGTGGGGAAATTGTAATAACTGGATGTTGGATGTCCTGAAGACAAATTCTTGCTGGGTGGAACCGGCAACACCATTTGCCGTTGATCATTAGCATTGTTCCTATTTTCCTCAACTATCTCTTCTTTATCAGAACTACCCAACACTACTAGTTCAATGGTAATATTATTGCCAGGAGAGGATTGTTGCAATGCTTTTTTATATAACTTGGCTTGCTTTTCAATTTCCTAGCAATCTTCTTTATTTCTGGATCAAATATCAAACTATCTTTCTGAGATCGGATCATACACCAAATATCTGAACAAGATAATTCAAAATGAAGTGAAAAAATAAAATAAAAACAAAAATTACAAAATAACTAAAGTGTAAGAATTAAGCGTTGTCCCTAGCAACGACACCAAAAATTTGATCGATAAATTCCTGCAAGTGTACAAGGTCAATAAAAAGCTTTCATGGTGCAACATTTTTTTTCCCAAAATTCATTGGCTATTCAAACAAAGCTGTATTTAAGTGTGTGAAACATAATAAGTAACTTGGACATTCTATGCATTATTTCACTTACAATCCTTAAGGGGAAAAATATAATCTTCACTATCCCATAGTATCAAACTCTTAAAAACAATCACATTTTCTATTGGAAATACACAGATAACATTATTAATTGGATCTAAATCTTGATTTTACATATTTACAAAGAGATCTTTTAAAAGTATGTTACTTTTTAGCTTAAATTTTACATTTAAAAATCATATGTATTTAGGACTCAATATGTAAATATGAAATTTGACAGAACAAAATTGAATTAAAATGCAAAAATTAATCGAAAGGTATGTACAATTTAACTTTAAAGAAATTTCTTATGACATAAAAGATTAATTTTTAAAGGTCAATATGAAATGCTAAAGCAATAAATAAAAGTTAGATTTTATTAGTCAATTAACTAGAGAGCAACGTCAAAAATACTGTAGAGAGGGGCAATAAAATTTTGTCAAAATTTTAGGAGCTAATTTAAGGATTTTAATGAAAATCTTCTCTATTTCTTAGGAGTTAGTAGGAATATGTTGAAAGTTGGGCGTGGCTGCCCCGGGTCTACCATTGGCTCTGAGAATTTAAGTGTATGAAACATAATAAGTAAGATATATATTCTACACATTAATTCACTTACAATCCTAAGGGAAAAAGGTATAAATTCAGTATTCCATATTATCAAACTCTTAAAAACAATCACAATTTTTTTACAACTTGGAGTACGCAAATAGCGTTGGTAATTGGATCCAAATCTTGATTTTATATTTTTACAAAGGGAGGTTTTAGAAGTATACAACTTTATTAGTTTAGATTGTACATTTAAAAGATCATATGTATGTAGAACCAAGAAATAAAAAATGAAATTTCACAAAGCAAAAATTAATTGAAATGTAAAAATTAATTGAAAGGCATATGCAATTTAACTTTAGATAACTTTTTTTGACGTAGTACATTGATTTTCAAAATTCAATATGTAATGCTAAATCATTTAATAATTTAAGTTGAACATTAACTAAATTGGAAGGTAAAAAATATTGTAGAGGAGGGAAACAGAATTTTGTCAAAAATCTTGGGGCGAGAGGCTAAATAAAAGCTTTCAATTGTCTACAAATCTCCTAGAAACTAACAGGAGTATGTCTACAAAATCTTCTGTGGTGGAGATCAGTGGTTAATCAAACAAGCAAGAGGACTTCACCATGAATAGTAAGCCTAATATTGAGATCTCCATAAGATAAAACCTAGTAGAGATAAAGGCAAGTAGCAATGGAAGTTACACCAAAACCACAGACGCAACAATTCATCTCTTAAGATACAATCTTAGGCTAACGGCTGTTGCTAGCATGAGAGCTGATAAACGTAGCTTAGGAGTAGTTTATTGTTATTATTATTTTGGTAATCTTGTATGCATTAACATCCGCGGATGCATGCCATACGTGCAAAAATGAATTCAAATTCAAATTGTGATACATGCATCCAAAGGACTAGTGTATACGTTTAATCCTATTTTTTTTATCACTTCTTAGATTTTTATGTTTGACTGTTTGTTGTAATTTTGTAGGCAATTCCAAAAAACAAAAAGGTTAAATCCAATCATTTAGTCGTTCAGTATGTGTCCTCCCTCTCAATATGTTTACTACTTGATTTCTACATCATTTAAATTACATTTAATTTCAAAAGCATCAGACTGCACAATCTTCTAACGCGTTTGGGCTGTCGAACTATTTTCAATGGGACGGTATAGGGTAACAAACAGCAACAAACCGCAGTTTTTCTCATGTTGCCATTTTTTATTTTTCAAGGGAGACTCAAAAAAGGGATGTTTTGAGGGTCAAACAAGTTAAAAGAACATTGGTTGAATGAATCCTTCAAGAATCACTTTGAACATTCAAAGTTGTACTCTGTAAATCCTCTATACATGCAAACACACTCCGCCTGAACTTTCAAAGATGCATGATGATAGAGCATGTAGGGAGAAATATTTTAGATACCCAGCAAATTCGGTAGGTTTTCTTTTTCTTTTTTCCAAAAAGGGTAACAAATATGATCTAACTATGTTACATGGAAGCGATAATCGAGAACAAACGACTCTGTATTATGCAAAAAAAGAAAAAAAAAACAGAGAAGGTGGAGAAAAGTGATTTTCTCAAAGCAGAAAGACTTTATCGCTTTAAGCAACAAAAGCTGCAGATCAGCTGCGTTACATATTAGAAATATAATGGAACTTACACTGAAGTTGATCTTCCTACAATTTCCTTTGTAGCATTCAGGATCACACCTTTGCTTGAAGATGCTCAGCACACCCTATGTGTAAGATCATGAAATACGAAAGAAGTATAAGCTATGGTTTGTGTAATTGAAATCGTAAACAGCAAAGATGAAGAATTAAAAGCTTGGGCTGGCTTACAGTCACTAAACAGTTGAAATTAGTGAATGAAGAGGTGCTGCTCGATTATCAAATCCAGAGGGGAAACAGTACATTTACGGATGTTGCTCCACAACGTTGAAAAAATAAAAAAGACAAATAACTTGCTGTTGTTTACGGGCGAAAATACCATATACAACTCCCTCAAATCCCAAATTCTCTTTTGTTTTAACTATTGCTAATTGAACTTATTGCAACTCTCTTCCTTCTCTCCTCTTTCCTTCTTACTGCGAAGTTCCCCTGCAAAGTTTTTCTCTTCCATCTGAGCCTATACATACAAGTTTTCTCTCTTATTGGTTCTGCCAGTGAGAACTTGCTTCCTTGCAAGATTTTCTAATTGTAGTTTTCCTCTAGTAGACTTGTCTAGATTTTCCTCGTGATAGTTTTATTCCCTTTTTCTTAATTTTTTGTTCAATAATTTCCCTTGTTTTTGTAGTCTACATTTCACATAATCAAAGAATTTCAGCATTGACTAAGAATTAAGAATAAGACTCAAATTTACCCTGTAAAACATCGTATATTCAGCTGATACCGTGTTTAAAAGCAATTTCAAGCTCGAACTAGTTACCAACTTACCGTTAGTACATAAGGAACTTAGGGTTCTGATATTTTGCTCCCTGAACGCAAGGCCTTGTGTTTTGCATTCCAAGTTTGTGTATTTTGAGGTTAATGTCTTTGTTGTGGATATTGAAATGGGTTCTCGCGTTGGTTTTAGTTACTTTGTTGGCTTTTGGATTTGTATAGGTGAATTATTGGTCTTCAAAGAAAGGGATCCTTGCATACGCCTGCATTGAGGAAGAAACATTCAATTAAACGGACCCTTGTATAGCGTGTAGAAGTCACGTCATGTTTAGATTTTTTTTCCTTTTTTTTGGTCGTCAGATATCAACAATCTACAGCTACTGCACGTTTATTTTTACATTTGAATGTGTGGTTGTCCATTTCTTTGATTTTTTTTTTTTTTTTTAGAAAATCACATAATGATAGGATGGAAACTTGGGATGGATCCTCTAACATTGGATACCCAGTCGAATCATTCAATGCCATGTGCCACCCAGGCAGCCTTAAAATTAGATTGGATATAAATCGAGCTGTTGACGGCGAAATTATATGCTGGATTGAGTTTGTTTGGATAAGAATTTATTTGGATGATTTATTTGATTCAGTTACTGTAGCACTTTTTGTGATGTGATGTATGTGAGATAAAAAGGTGATTGGGAATTGTGTGTATGATGCAAGCAAAACAAAATCTGAAATTTTTATTCCAAATTCTTGTTGTCCAAACAAACTCGTAACTAGTGTTTTTCAAAAATAAAATTTTTAAATATAATGCTGGTGTAACACACTTTAAAAATACCATTAAAAGCTCCTAGTTCAAATAATTTTAAATACAACCTACAAAAATACAAAAATAAAATTTTAAAAAAATATAGCAAATCCTACAATCTTTTTTTTTCTTGCACCCACCATTATCATCACCACTTACCTCCTTCCTCGTCCAATGCCACACCACCGTCGCCCTTCTCCCCTCTTTCCTTCCTCTCCTTCTTCTTCTCTCTCCATACTCCTCCTCCATCTTGCTCTTCTTCTTCCTCCTCCCTTATTTTTTCTCCTTTCTTCCCTCACTATCCTCATCCCCTCCTTTTCCCTTTTTTGTCGCAAAATGAGGAGAGAAAGGGGAAGAGAAGGGAGGAAGAGGAAGGAGAAGGAGGAGGGGTGGTGGTGACAGTGGAGGAGAGAGGAGGGAAGAGGTGGCGGCGATAGTTGGTGGTGGTAGGTGATAAAGTTTTTTAATTTTTTTTTTGAGCAACAAAGTTTTTTAATTTTTAAAAATATTCTAATTTTAAATTTTAAAAGCTTCCAAAAATATATTGACAATGAAAGTTGTTCATACATAATGTTATAATGTAGTATTTAAAAAAACTCTAAAAAAATATCTAATCCATACGCACTCATAAGTATTTCAAGAAATTTTTGTAGGCTATTTGTTTTGTTGGATTAGATCTAACACTAATCTCTTTCCCTACCCAATGGATTGAAACAATTTTTCAGAAAGGGAAATCGGGGAGTAAGCTAACTTAAACAGAAATAGCCCATTACGTCCTTCAATTTTTTTTCATAATAGAGATTTTGTCCTTGAACTTTAGTTTTGGCAAGTTAAGTGTCTAACTTTTTATGTTTTAGGCACTTTAGTCTTTTTAGGCATAGGGTAGCCTAGATTTTTTTTTTTTTTTTTTGTGGCACAACGAAGGGGCAATTTTAGAAACCAGCCACATCCCTTAACTTAAAATTAATCATCCCGATACTTTGTTCAACAACTTGGTCATTTTCGATGGATAACTATTATAAGCATATTGTTAGCATGCACAAACAAATTATTGATCCAACAGAATCGAAGTTTGAATCAATTATAAGAAAAAAAAATTGTTTAGCCTTTTTTTTAATCTCATGCATATAGGAATGAGTAATTGTGCACATTACTAGAGGTGGCAATTTGGATTGAAATCCATTTATCCATCCATATAATCCATAATTAAATGGATTTGGATTATCCATTTATAGTGTTGGTTTTAAATGGTTCATCAAAGTAAAACCATTAAATTAAATGGATTTATATGGATTATCCACATAAACCATATATATCCATTTACTTAAAACCAAATAAAAGAAATGGACTTTCAGTCCCCATTAATCCCCCAAATCAAAGGTTTGTTTATCTTTCTTCATTCTTCCTTGTTCATACGCGTACAGATTCAAAATTATCAACATCGCTCCTCCAACTTGAAAGATGTTCTCGGCTACATTTTTTCATTTCCTGTCATATGTTTTCTAGTGGTGGTTCAACGTGGGCAACATTTCACTTTTGTGAGTTCCTTGCAGAGGCCGTAGCCTACGAAAATCACAGGGCAATCCTCATATTCGACAGTCATGGAAGAGTTAACTCTAGCGCAACAGATTTACCGTTGCTCCTGTGTTGGAACAAAAATGTTGCAACGTTGATTCGTAAATGATCACGCAAGGGAACAGAAATCAACATTGCTGTTTTACAAATATCACGTCGTGGAATTGCAGAGCTCTTATATAGTATTAATTAGTACTTTTGTTTATCAAGAAAAAGAAAACGAAACACTAGTAGTACTTGTGTTCATGGAGTTCAAACTTGAGTTTGAACAGCTCGAACTGCTTCACGAATTTAGTTTCAGCCTAGCATGTGAAGTTTGAAAGTTCGTCGAATTTAATCGAACTTCATACACACACGCACACGTGTATATATATATATATATATATATATATATATATATATATATATTATTTATTAGTATAAAATGTCTATTATATCCCTTGTTTAAAATAAAATTATATAAAATATAAATTATATGACCTCCCTCCTTTGATTATGATGTGATTCAGTCCCCATTAATCCCCCATTAATTACCATATGGTTATTTGTACAACAATCTTCATGGTTAGTTCCAATTATTTTTGTAATTTATTGATTTTTGTCATTTTCAACACCTAAAATTTACAAGTACATAAAAAAGTATCTTCATATTACAAGAAATGGTAATACAAAAAAAAGTAATCAAAATATTTAAATGGATTATAAATGGATAATTGGTTTTTATTTAATCCATTTAGATCCATCCATTTAGATCCATTTAATAAATGGATCTAAATGGATTGGATAAATTTAATCCACCATCCATTAAGTCAAAACCAATTATGAATCATTTATCCATATTGCCACCTCTACACATTACCATCACTGAGATATCGTAAAATTGATCTAGTTTGAAGAAAAAACAACACATTTTTAAATTTTTGTAGGCACATGATTTTTCGTTAGTAATTAATATGCCACATTGATCCAAGCCGAACTTCTTAGACAAATGATTGGTTGTGCCCCATTTATATTGGTTATTCGTTAAACATAGAATAAATAATGATGTTGGTCATAAATTGAAGAATGAGGCAAGTTTCCAAAATTACCCACTGCTAGTACTGAAAAGAATATTGTTGTGCTAAACATTGGCCTAAAAGGACTGAATCAGATAATTACTTGAAGTTTACGTCTTAAATTGGCTAAACGAAAAGTTCTAAGGGCAGGATGTCTTTAACAAAAAGTTGGCGGACTGCCTTGTTTGGATTGCATTTTTCTTGATTTTTTGTAAAAAATATACTGTAGTGATTTGATATATGTGATGTAAAAAGATAATTAGAAAATATGTTCATGGAAAACGTACGTTTTCCGTAAATATATAAAATTGCTATTCAAACAAGAATTAGCTATTTTCCTGCCAACTAATTGAGATAATAACTTGTGATGACTTCGTCAAGAAGTTGTGGTCCTGAACCATATTTTAAGTTGATTGTTGTGTTTCGCTCGGCAACCATATTACCAATCAAACGCGTGGGAGCCACAACTTGTTTATTCTTGCGTTATTTCTTATACGTTATTCTCTTGAATTTCTCTTTATCCAAGTCTCCGGGAATTTCTCTTCATCTACGTTATTCTTGAAGTTCTTCTTTAGCTTTTTATGCTCGTTCCATACGGCCACTTTTCTTTACTCCTCCGCCCTGATATGAACCCTTTCATGGCGTTGTCAAGGATTAATTCCACCTATGCTTATTGTTTACGTTGCATTGTGGTCTTCCACGAATAATGAACTAATCGTTGAAGGTTGGTATATGTTCTTATCCGTCTATTTGTTTTGAAAACGAATTCTGGGGACCATAAAGCCGTGAATTAGGCGCCTTACAAGTTGATTTCTATTCAGTTCATTCATATTCATACAATTTCAATAACTATTATTGTAAATTTATACAATTTAGATGTAAATTTAAATACAATATAAGTTAGTGATTATATCAAAAACTGTACGAGTTTGTTTCAAATATAGTAAGGATTACACGAATCAGTTTAGTTAAACTAAATAAACTCAACTGTGACGCTCCAGTCCAAGGTCGGCAACCATTCTGGAAGGTATGGCCGGCTTAGGCCACTTGGGACCGTCATCAAAACAGCAATGATAACATTTCTTTGTAAACCCTCCCACTGTACCTCAAGGTCTGGCTGACTATGTATAATGCTCACACTGATTTTTTGAAAAAATGAAGTTAAATGAAGAAAGACAATGAATGCCAAAATGTGTTTGTTTGGGTAGTGATTATTTCTCAAAATTTATTTGTTTGCATCATCATCATATTTTTCAATTTATCTCACATGTATCATATCAAAAAAGTATTACATTATTTTTTTAAAAAAATTATTCCAAATAATTTACTATCCAAACACACTATAAGTTACTTGGCACCTACTGAATAAATTCATTGACACAAACGCTATGTGTGGACAGCACATTGACACTTTTTTTCACAGTCGACAATAGTCTACTCTACACCTACTCCAACTCATACTCTAACTTATTCTATAGGGGGATCCAATTGGACCAATTAGAGGATCGACGAGAACTGAACCACCATCGGATCAGACTGGTGCACAATACACCTTTCTGAATTTTTTAAAAAACCAACCCTTGTCTCCCACCCTACCAAGTCCTTGGTGGTGGTTACTAGCCTTTGGCCCGATGGTTAATAGCACAGGACAGTTGACTGACTACGTCTGACTTGACTTACTTTTCAAGATACATTGTTGTCAATATTAAATGCTTTCAAATCAAACCCAACAATAAGTCCGTCTTTTTTATTTCTTCACAATGATAACATTTTTATAATCTATCTAGAAGAAATCGATTGAAATAAAGACTTCATTGAAGAAAATCACTGAAAAT